GATTCCTTGGGGACAGGGACCCGCAGGCGCCTGGGATGTGGGAGAGCTGGGTGTGTAGGCATCTGAGCTTGGGCAGGAGGTGGGATGGAGCAGGCAGTTGGAGGGTTTCGGGCCTGGGCAGGGCCTCACCCAGGGTCTCCATGACCACGCGAGGAACCACCTCCTTCAGGACCTCGCAGTTGGTGTGCAGGGCGGGGTTGGAGTTCATCTCTAGCAGCCACACCTGGGCCCAACATGGGTCAGCATCCTGCCCCACCTGCCACTTGGCCTGCCGGAGCCGGGGCAGGTGGCCTCACCCCCCATATTTGCCCAAGGGGCTGAGACTCTAAGGATCTGGCCTTGGAGGCTGCCCCGCTGCAGGGGGAGCGAAACCTGATGGAACCCCCTACCCCCACCCCGCGGGGCTTGGGGAGGTCGGACTGCAGGGTCCACCCCCGGGCCTGTCTGGTGGTCAGGCTGGGCATAGATGCCCCCGCGCCCTGCACCTGCCTGCCAGGCCCCACTGCCCTGGGATCCCCAACGGCACCTTGAAGTTGTCATCGATCAGGAAGTCACAGCCAATGAGGTCGAAGTAGCCCAGCTTGCACTCGAGCTTGGACTTGACAGCCAGGAAGCAGTGGGCCATGATCTGCTGCATCTGCTTCTGTGGGGGGCGGGGGGGCAGGCAGAATGTCACTGTCAGCACTGATGACACTGCCACCCGCAGCCATGGCCACCCCCCTCGCCTGCAGTCCTAACGGGGCCTCACCTCAAAGTCCACCTGTGCCCTCACCTGTGCCCTCACCTGTGCCCTCACCTGTGCCCTCACCTGCAGAGCCACCCCTGCCTGCCCTCATGTTCGCACTCTTACAGCCAGAAACTCAGTCACTCTCGTTTTATTCATTCGGCAGACGTGTGGAGCTCTGGCCGCGTGGCGGGTGCGGGGACAGGAGTGTCTGCCCCGGCCAGACCCTCACAGCAGGAGAGACAACACGTGACCCGCACGCAGACCATCGTACACTTGGCACAGGAGGTTGAGCCATCAATGCTGATGGAGAAAATGCAGCTAAGAGCGTGGAGGTGAGAGTTCTGGGGTGGCTTTTTGTGGTGGTTAATCCTCTCCCAGGGGCATTTTCCAGTGATTTTTAGGGAGAGTGGGAGAGCGAGGGAATGGCAGAGAGAAACATCTATGTGATTGGTTGCCTCCTGCACAAGCCCTGACCAGGGCCTGGGCCAGGGAGGAGCCTGCAACCAAGGTATGTGCACTTGACCGGAATCGAACCCGGGACCCTTTGGTCTGCAGGCCGACGCTCTATCCACTGAACCAAACCCTCTAGGGCGGGGGTGGGGGTGTGTGGCTTTTGTGATGTAAAAAGAGGTGTGGTCTGGGGGCCTCCTGGAGGAGATAGTGACCAGGACTGAAGACGGGGAGGGGGTGCTGTGGCTCGAGGGCAGGGGGTGCAGGAGACGGGGTGGCGGCCTTACCCCATGGGGGCCTGGGAAAGACCTTGACTTTCCCCTCAGATCAGAGCTGCTGGGGTGGAGCCGAGGAGGGGCACCTGTGGCCCAGGCCCTCCCAGGGCCCTCCGCCTGCTATGCCCAGAGAGACTGAGGGGCTAGAGGTGGTGGGACGGGCTCTGAATATATTTTGAGGGAGAGCCCGGCCAAGTGGCTGGTGAAGGATGCGTGAGCTGTGAAAAAACGGGAGAAGGGTTATCCCTGGGAGGATGGAGCCCCCATCAACTGAGCAGGGGCCGGGGGACCATGGAGGCGGGGGGGCGGTGTCCATGAGCTGTAGACGGGGTGCTGACGGGCCTGGAGGGGAGGCTCAGGTTCAGGACAGAGGTGAGGGCCGGATGGTGAAACGGGGACCCGGCTTACAGGCGGGATCTGAAGCCGGAGACTCAACACCAGTGGGTGTAGGTAAAGGACAGGGCGTCTGCTGAGCCCTGGGCCTCCAGGGAGCAGAGGCTGGGAGGCGAGAGGCCAGCACAGGGGCCAGGCGGAGGGGACAAGGCCCTGGAGCCACGGAAAGGCGTGGGGAGTGAGCAGCTCTGTCCCAAGGGCTGGCAGGTCAGGGACGAGAGGGCTGGGATCTGACCCCTGGGTTTGGCAACGCGAAGGTCACTGTGACCTTGATGAGTGTTTCAGGGGCACAACAGGGAGACGCCTCACTGGAGTGGGATCAAGAGACAAGAACATGAGTGAAAATGTCAGAGGAAGGACATCTGAGAACAGGCCACTCCATAAACGCAGCACCTGCCCCCTCTCCCCCCGAAAAACAACAATAAGAAACAAACCTGCAAAATGGTCAGAATACACTGTCAGAAAGGCTTGCAGCAACTTGAGGAGAAAAGTCTTGCATTCTGAGCTTTGTGCACTTTAGGTCCTGGTCAGATTTACCCCCCTCCCAGCTCAGCGCAGCCTGGAGAAAAGCCACACCTCCGCAGGAGATAGCAGACTGGGCCTGGCTGGCCAAGAACTGTCGCTGTTGGTTGTGTCCTGTCTGGGGCCCCCTGGGAGACCTCACTTGGAAAGAATGCTGGGAACATGTGAGAATAGAGACTATCAAGGAAGAGACAGAAAGTATAAAAGGGAACCTAGTATAAATTCTGGAGGCGAAAAGTTTAACAACTGACATTTACAATCCACAGAGGGGCTTAGCAGTAGATATGGATTGTCTGAAGTGAGGTCCATGAGGTGATCCAGTGTGAGGGACCTAGCCAGTTTAGCTCAGTGGATAGAGCGTCGGCCTGCGGATTGAAGGGTCCCGGGTTCGATTCCGGTCAAGGGCACATGCCTGGGTTGCAGGCTCAATCCCCAGTGTGGGGGGTGCAGGAGGCAGCCGATCAATGATTCTCTCTCATCACTGATGTTTCCATCTCTCTCTCCCTCTCCCTTCCTCTCTGAAATCAATAAAGATATTTAAAATATATATAGGGGGCGGGGGCGGGCTGGAGGGGGATAAAGGGGGACATATGTAACACTTTCAACAATAAAGAATTATTCATATATATATTTATGGCAAAAGAAATTACTCTAGAAATGCTACATTACAAAATATAGGGTGTCCCAAAAATATTTTTTACGGACACACTGTATAATTATAAAGGTGGTGTTTATTAGAATACATTCCAGTTTCAAAATTGAGCTATCAGCTGTTCAAGTGTGTATACATTTTTTTGGGACACCCTGTACATATCTGTGTCACACAGAAGAATTGAAAAGCAAAAAAGATACATAGCAAAATAGCAGGTGTAAACCCTACCTTAACAGTAATTATATTAAATATAAGTCACACTTTTCAAATAAAAGACAGCGACTGGCCAAACGCATAAAAGCCCCTTCAGATACACTGTCTATGAGACTTCGGATTCAAAGACACAGATCGGTTGAAAGTAAAAAGGTGGGAAAAGAGACATGTCATACAAACAGCAGCCAAAAGGAGCTGGAATGACTATTCTAACAGCAAGCTGATTTTAAGACAAAAATTGAGGATAGTAAGAAAAAAAGTACATTTTATAATGACACATCAAGAGCCTCAGAATACATATGGTAAAAGCCAGTAGCATTGCAGGGACACAGACAATTCAACAGCAACAGTTGGAGACTTCAATACCCCACTTCCCGGGTGGACAGGCATGTGGACAAGATCAACAAGGACATAGAAGCCTTGGACAATATAAATCGAGGCCTAGCAGACATCTGCAGAACCTCCGCCCGAGAGCAGGCCTGTGTTTCTCAGGTGCCCACGGAACGTCCCCCAGGACAGACATTGTTAGGACACAAAACAAGTTCCGATAATTGTTTAAAGGGCTGGAGTCATACCAAGTATGTCCTTCGCCTGGCCCGTGTGGCTCAGTGGTTGACGATCCACCTACGAGCCACGAGGTCACCGTTCCATTCCCTGTCAGGGCACATGCCCGGGTTTCGAACTTGATCCCCAGTAGGGGGCGTGCAGGAGGCAGCGGATTGCAGATTCTCACCATTGATGTTTCTCTCTCTCTCTCTCTCTCTCTCTCTCTCTCTCTCTCTCCTTTCCCTCTCCCTCCCTCTCTAAAATATTTATTTATTTCTTTAAACTTGTAAAAGAAAACATATGTATAAATCTTTCCAACCTTGGATTTGGCAATGGATTCTTAGATATGACCTCAAAAGCATGAATGACCAAAGAAAAGATGGATCAATTGCACTTCATTCAAAATCTAAAGCTTTTGTTCAGAAAAGGACGTTATTAAGAAAGTGAAAAAAGAACTCAGAACAGGAGAAAATGGTTGCAGATCACATGTCTGATAAGGTTTAGCAACCGGAGCATGAAGAGCTGAACAAGGAAGGACAGAGGGTCGGAATAGAAAGTTTTCTCAAGCAGATACCAGACGGCCAATAAACCCATGAAAAGAGATTCAACATCATGATCATTAGTGAAATGCAAATCAGACCCACAACGAGATACCAGGTCACAGCCACTTTTCTTTCTTTTTTAAAAAAGGGAAAGTGCCGAAACCGGTTTGGCTCAGTTGATAGAGCGTCGGCCTGCGGACTGAAAGGTCCCAGGTTCGATTCCAGTCAAGGGCATGTACCTGGGTTGCGGGCACATCCCCAGTAGGAGATGTGCAGGAGGCAGCTGATCGATGTTTCTCTCTCATCGATGTTTCTAACTCTCTATCTCTCTCCCTTCCTCTCTGTAAAAAATCAATACAATATATATTTTTTTTAAAAAAAAAGGGAAAGTGTCGGCGAGGATGTGGAGGTGGGAACGTGAACTATTGCGAGGAGGAGAGAGAGCCTGAGACGCCTCCGTGGCCAGCTTCCACCGCCCAGTGGCACAAGGAGACACACACTCCTTCGCACAGACGCACCCCTGCCCCCTCCAGTACTGAGGGGACACTGCCCCACCCCACATCCCTACGGGGTCGTGACCCTTGATCCCGGGCCCGTCCCCTCCATGGGGTGGGGTGAGGCGCTCACGGACCGTGAAGGTGGTGAAGACCCAGTCGCGGGGGAGGCCCTTGGTCTTGCTGAACTTGTCGTTGATGTGCCGGTTGAGCTGCTCCATGCTCCACACCGTGTCCTCCTTCAGGAGCACGTACAGGGGGCTCTTCTTCTGCATGAACTGGGGGGAAGGGTGTGGCGCCTGGAGGCCATCTCCCCGGAGCGCCCAGAGGCCCTGCCCGCCCCCCCCCACATCCTGCGGCAACCCGGGGGCCAAGACCCTCTCCAACACCTTCTTCCATGGAGACCTCCTCGGCCACCAAGCCCCCACCGATCCTCACGGAGGGCTCAGCCTCGACTCCCCGTGGCAACCCTTCCACGGAGACCTCTGGCCTCTCCTTGAGGTCTTCACAGAGTGGAGGGTCCAGAGGCCCTGCCCCACCCCCTCCGGACAACCCGGGGGCCGAGACCCTCCCCAACACCTTCTTCCATGGAGACCTCCTCGGCCACCAAGCCCCCACCGATCCTCACGGAGGGCTCAGCCTCGACTCCCCGTGGCAACCCTTCCACGGAGACCTCTGGCCTCTCCTTGAGGTCTTCACAGAGACCCCCTCCCCGGCTCCTGCCCCCCCCCACACCTCCTCCACGTCCAGCGGGAACCACGCTGCGGTGGGTGGGTGCAGGGCCCTCGGTCACGTCACCAGATGCCCTGCGGTGGCCGAAGGTGAGAGGTGATGCCAACAGCAGGCAGGGCCCGCCCAGGCCCCCTCGGGGCTGGACCAGCTCTGGGTCTGAGCCAGGTCTGCACTGGCCTCTTCTCTCTGCTTCTGAGCAGTGATCTCGTCCGAGGGCGGCCGGGAGGACCCTCACCTGGTTGGTCAGGTGGCCGCTGAGGTCTTGGGAGTCGGGGTCGTAGAGGCTGAGGGTGAGGCGCGCGTAGCCGTGGCCGAAGAAGACCATGTAGGGCATGGCGCAGGCAATGAGCAGGTAGGAGCGCACGTCGAACTTCTTCCCGTCCAGCAGCAGCGGGTTCTCGATGTACCTGGGGGCAGGTGGGGGCTGAGCACATGGCCCGCCTGGACCTGTTCCTCATGTGGGCTCCCTCCCCTGGCCGAGTGCCTGTCGGTCGGTACAGTTTGGAGGCTCCCTGGATCTCAGCCCCCTGGGTGTCTGGGTGCTCAGGCTGCAACTCTCACGAGGAGCCTGGCCGGTGGGAGCAGACCAGCCCCTGGGCAGGGAGCGCCGCCTGGAGGCGGAGGGAGGGCTGACATTGGGCTGAGCGGACTGGAGAGGCGGGAGGGGCACCCCACGTGGAGGGACCTGCAGAGCTAAAGCGCCTGGGACGGCCACTGGGAGAGGAGGTGGCGGACAGCGGCCGAGACAGGACTGTGGGGAGTTCCGGGGACCTTCGAGGTGAGACCGTGCCGCCCAGCCTGAGCCTGGGGTCTGGACCCCGTCCAGAGGCAGAGGGATGGAGGGCGGGACAGGCAGCTCTGGCTGCCGGCCTGAGGCTGTGGCTGCCCGGCGGGCTTCCTGCAGGACCGAGGGGCAGTGCCCAGGCAGTGGACAC